CACACCAGGAAAAACCAAAACAAACATTATTTTATAAAATAATTACATATACATTACATTACATTACAAATAAAAAATATATAAACTAACAATATTAAATGAAACATGTTTTGCTTTTGGTTTTAAAACTGAACTTTACGTACTGTAGTTTTGTACGCAACGCCAACGAGGTTATATATATAAATTAAATTAAGTTAATGATCAAGTAGAGATTTGGTCTTACACTATAGTAACTAGTTTATACATTTCGGTACTTATTTATTTATTTAATATTCTTCGAATATGTTATTACAGTACGGAAAGTTCCAGCAATTCGCTTTAAGGCACGGTGCCATAGACCACTAGTTCTATTTTTTATTTCAGAACAGTTAAGGTCAATTCTATTGCCCCGTTATGTTGAGGTCTGGGGCACCATGTATATGAAGTAGTATATTAAAATGTAATAAAATGTGTATATGAAGTTTATTGTGAAAATATGTAAAAGAGTGTATAAAATACATAAAAGTGTGTATAAATGTATGTAAAAGTTAGTAATATTCACTGAAAGTTTTAGATCTTAATATTAACTTTTAGATAGTGCGCAATTCAATCAAATTTTGTATGGAAATAGCATGGAAAACATTTTAAAAATTAAATCAAATTTGTTTAGTTATAACTTAGCAAAAAATGAATTAAAATTGAAAATTCGTGTCATTTTTTATTGAAAATTCGACGCTCCGCAAAATTTTTGGAATTTTTTTTATGCTATTTCCGTACAAAACTTTGATTGAATTGCGCTCTATCTAAAGGACAATATTAAGAGCTACAAGTTTCAGAGAATGGTTTTTTATCAATTTGGAACCATTTGAGCTCTTGTGGAAGCAAGGAAATTAAAAAATGTCCATATTAAGGGCCACCCTAATATACAACTATAAATGTATATGTGTTTGCGTATGCAAGGTATTTACAAATTTGCATAAACATATATGAAATGCGCATAATTGCATATATGTATATGTATATGTATATATAATATGCATGTGTATATGTGTATGTGTGTATATCCTTCGTCTCCACATGTGTCTGATGTGTTGCGATGTCAATTACAAATGTGCTGATGTAATTATAATGTCCTTTGGAAAACTTCAAATGCGCACATGAAACAACATTCTTCATTTGATCTCGAGATGAAGATCATTTGAGTCTTTCATTTACATTTATGGATATCGACACATATTTTAATCAATTCAAACACACTATAAACACTTTCATATGCATTTATACACACTTACACACACTTACACACACTTACACACACTTACACACATTTATACACACTTACACACACTTACACACATTTATACACACTTACACATACTTACACACATTTATACACACTTACATACACTTACACACACTTACACACACTTACACACATTTATACACACTTACACACATTTATACACACTTACACACACTTACACACACTTACACACATTTATACACACTTACACACATTTATACACACTTACACACATTTATACACACTTACACACATTTATACACTTTCATTTACATTTATAGATATCGACACATATTTTAATAAATTCAAACACACTATAAACACTTATGCACATTTATGCACACTTACACACATTTATACACACTTACACACATTTATACACACTAACACACATTTATACACACTTACACACACTTACACACACTTACACACACTTACACTCATTTATACACACTTATACACATTTTTTACACACTTACACACATTTTTTACACACTTACACACATTTTTACACACTTACACACATTTCTACACACTTAGACACACTTACACACACTTATACACACTTATACACACTTATACACACTTATACACACTTATACACACTTACACACACTTACACACACTTGCACACATTTATACACATTCATACACATTTATACACATTTATACACACTTACACACGCTTACACACATTTATACACACTTACACACATTTTCATACACATTTCAAGAATCACTCGACGCATTTAAGTTTTTTACTTTTTGTATTGGATCTCGAAAACCGCTGGACCTGCCTTTTTAAAAATTTCAGTTCAGTTTTTCACCACAAATAAAATATTTTTTGAACCATTCAAGTTGGTTATCCCCCGTTCTTTCAAAAACTGGATTATTATTTTTGCACTTTTTGCCCCATCTCTTCGAAACAGCTGGACCTGCCTTAGCCAAAAACTAATCAGCGCGTCTTCTTATCAATAAGAATCATTTTTTAAATATTTTAAAATACCTGAAATATACACACTATTTCATTTCTCAAATCAAACAATTATTTTGGTTTCAATAAATGTGGTGTTTATTCTTCCATTATTTTTAATATAATATTTATATTTTCGTGTAAGGTTTTTTTTATACAAAACATTCAACTTACGTACTAAATTTTTTATCATCATATATTTTGATAATAATCGCTAATTTTAATTATTAATATTAATCAATAATATTAATTATTAATCAATAATATTTATCTGTTATTAAATTAATTTCATTTTGGTACATTTACATATACAAGTACATTCATTTAATATATTTATTTATTCAACACTTAATTTAATAATAATATTATATATATGTACATTTATTAATATATATATTTAGATATTTAAATCAGAAAAATATACTAAAATCCATCATTCATATTAATCGAATGGTTTAGAAGTTATGTTAAATGCAAGAAGTAAATGCATAAATAAGTTGCAAAGCAATTCTCATATCGATGTTTCAACTTTGGATGCAATTTTGAAGTATACGGAATTGCTGTAGAGTCTTACATTATTAGAAAAAGTTGCAGATCATTTAATTTTAAACAAATTTTTTGATCATCGTCAAATTTTTGACATCATTCATATTAATCGAATGGTTTAAAAGTTATAAGAGATAGAGTAACAAAATGCATTACCTAAAGTACTGTGAGCTTTATATATTTTTTAACATTTGTTTTTTTAGAAAATATTCTTCTGATTTAAATATTTAAAATATATATAAATATTTAATATTTTACTAAATTTATCACATTCAAGTATATATACATTTATAGACATTGTTTTTTTATTTAAATATTTTTGTATAAAAGAACTAAATAAATAACCAAGTACTTTTTTTAAAGACGTTACGGATTTTTTCATTTTTAGTCAGATTTATGTGGATATAAAATTATTTGTTTTAGTTTGTTGTGTAAAAAATAATACAATTTTAAAATTGCAATTTTGTATATTTATTTAGTAATAAACAATATATTTGTTTATAATTTTGCAGAATTTTGTGTGTTTTTTACCCAAAAATGTGAACGGAATCGACTAAAACATTGGTTGACTTTGACGTTAAATTGTTTGTGTTCCAAGTATTTTTTTTGCAAATTTGTTTAAAACAATTCATGAACAATATATTTGTTCATGCCATATTAAAATTTCAAGTAAATTTATCAAAATTTTGGGATTTAAAAAACAAAACGTATCGATATACACAAATTTTGTATATCGACAGATAAACCTGAACAAAATAAAGCGGATTAAAAAAACTTTACTAATTTTTTGTTTCAAAATTCATTTTTCTTCCAAAGTTATTTTAACAATAACATTAAAATTACCCTGCTGTTACTAAATTTGTTAATTTTTATTTTTTACATCGAACTTTTTAATTTTACATCGAAAATTTATTTACATTTCGCTAAAATTCTCTACAAATTTTGTTGCAAATTGTTGCTATTTATTGCTATTTATGATAAATAAATAAAATATGCACACACATATACATACAAAAATTTAAAATAAATAAAACGATCGAATATTAAGAAAAAAATATAATATACGACTCATTTGTTTGTGGAAATGAATTTATGGGACTTCGTATACGTACTTGGGGAATTCCAAGAGTTTAAAATCAGAGAATTAAATTTTGAATTATTTGTAACAAATATGAAGAGGAAACTGGGTTGGATTTGGTTTGATATTTAAGTGTGTGTGCATATTTTTAAAATTAGTGCAAAATCTTGGGATCACATGATTATTATTGTCATTCTGATAATAAATATTACTAAATTTTGGTCATACGATATATTTACACAAATTATATATATATATATATATATATATATAATTACATTTTACAACTATGACTGTTTCAACATCGAATCCCACTTCTTTTTAACCCACTAAATGTTTTTTGAGGTTATGTGTTAGGTTTATTTACAAATGTTTATAATGATTCAACTTTGGTAACTCGTTTTTTACACTTCAGTCTAATTATTCATTTCCCAACCCTGTTTTTAAAAGTTTTTTTATACAAATCACTGATTTTTTTGTTCATTGCACTTTTTAGAATCAATCCCATTTGCTAGTTTTGATTTACTACGTAAAATCATTGATTAAATCACTTATCCCATAATCATAAATCTGTAATTTATTGAATTCTCTTATTGAATTAACGACTTCACAAAACTATTTTTAAAATTGTCTGTTTATTGTTTTTGGATAAATCACTGACTTTTGTGACGATAGCACTTTAACGGATCAATCCCCAGTTTTAGTTTTGTTTTTATCCCCAAAAATTAATGTGTAAATCACTTATCCCAGAATAAATGTCCTTTTATAAAAATCAGTCACTAGTATTTTAATTTTTGTTGAGATTGGTATTTATTTAGTTTAGTATTTGTTTATTGTTAAAATCACTGAACATCAATCCCACTTCACAAAATTTAAAATGGTGATTTAATTTTCAATCAATCTCTCTAATCACTGATCAAAGTCGATCTGTTTCTCTAAACACTTCAGATTTAAATCGTAGAAACAATTTTCAGCATCCAAAAATGCATCTCAAGATTTAGATTTAGTGCTTATTTCTTGGGATTAGGCTTCTTGGTGGGATTGATCAAATATGGTAAAGTGTGTCTTGATTACACTGATTTTTATCCATCCCATTTTGTTAGTGGTCAATCTCCAATCTCTTATTGTTTACAACTATCATTAGACGAGCAATTAGGCGAAATCTGTTGCTGCCGCACCAATCCCTCACTTGGGGCTTCTCCTGCATTACTAGCATGTCCAGCATGCTGAATATTCCTAGAATAAGCTTCCAAAAATCCAAAATTATCCCTATTGTGATACGCATTCGTATACTGTGCCAACCTCTGGTGCAAAATCTTCTTCGCGTACTCCTGATTTTGATCACTAGAATTGTTCGCCATGTCTGCCAAGGACCAGATTTTGGATTTGTTTGCACTTTGTATATTTTTTGTTGACATTTCTAATTTGGTATCACTTTTGACTTCGTCCCTGGATTCTATCTCCTTCTGGCGTTCGGTTTCCTGATTCAGGAGCAAGGAGTTGTTGATGAGAAGTTGGTTTTGGAAAAGCTGGAACGATGAGTTTATGCCGAGTAGGTGAGGGTTTTGGCCACTCTGCATTAGACTTGATGAAGTTGGCGGGACTGGTGGCAGTTGGTGGTTTGGATGGTGAAGTTGGTGACCCATTTGATGGTGGTTGATGAAGTGGGACGGGTTCCGGTGATGGTTGGTCAGGTCTTCGTCGTCGGAGGAGGCTGTCCCGGAGTCTTTGGAATCTGGAGCCAATAAATAACAATGAAAACTACTCTTTAGGGATTTTAAAATAAATATGTTTGTGGTCAACTATTTACCTTTGCAGTCTCGTTTTTCATCACCAGGTCCTCTGTCGTCCAAACGATCGTCACTTCGCATGTTGTCATCGTTTTCATCGTTGTTCCTTTCATCGTTTCTCTCATCATCATCGTCATCGTCGACACGGTTTCTGGGTTCCCACGTCATTTTGTTTTCTTTCTTCAATCTTCTCCTGGCATTTGCAAACCACGTTGACACCTGGAAACAAACAGGAATTTCTGCTATTAGAACAGGAGTTTTAGGAATTGTTTGGTGAACTTTGTTTAGCACTAGTTAAATGACATTGAGTGTATTGGAGAGTGTAGGATCCAAATTGGTGAAGGTAATTTATCAGAATTGATTTTTTTTTTTTTGTGATTTATAGATGTCATCACAATACACGCGCCTCCAAAATTTAGATACGTTTGGTAACTTAATTCTGGACTTATGTTGGTTGGAGTAAACCTTACACAACGAAGTGAACCAAACTTCTGATGCTTTTCGAGTCAAACCAACACCAACTAGGGTTATGCCAAGTAAATTCTGATTAAACCAAATTGTCGTTATAAGATTCATGTCTATCTGGCTCAAATTTTATTGTAATTACTCAACTAACTTGGATTTTGGCAGACTTGGCCTTGAAAAACTTCATACCATTGAACTGGCTATTTCACATTCGCCACAAAGTTTGAATAGAAACTTTGCCAAATAGATTGAAGATTAGTAAATTTGGTTAGAAGTGATTTGTAGGCATCAGTATTGGGTATGTTTGTTCAAAATTTGGTTGAATTTGGTTGAATTTGGTTGCATGGTTTAGGAAATATTTGAAGTCATTATAAACAAGAACCTTAGAAACTTATAGTACGTCCAATGTTTTTTTTAATAAATTGTTTTGAAAAATGTATTGGGTCCAATATTTGTTTTTGTCATTTTTTTAATAGCTTCAGAATTGTGGTTTAATTTTAGTCCAAACTAAATTAAAGTACGCTGACACGATCAAGGAATCTTAGTCTTGGACAGTTTTAAAAATCAAAGTACATGCTAAAAAATAGTAGTTTTCTACCAGCAAAATTTTATCTACACAAATAGTTGTTATCCACTAATTATAAATGTTATATTTATCGTTAAACTAATGTAAAAAAATAATTGTTATTACTCTATTTGTTTAAATTTTTGCGCACACAAAATCCTTCAACATGTGCTATGCTAATATTAATGAGAATTTATTGCAAATTGCTCAATTATTATAAATAATTTGACACTAAATATAGTAATTTATATTATTAACTCAAAGATAATAGAAATATAAACATATTTTGAACGTGATACTAAATCTTTTAAATTGGGAAAGAGATTGAATGAAGTATAATTTAAAAACAAACATCATATATATATATAAAATTTTTTATTAAGATCGGTCAATCCGTTTTGTATGAACAAAGCCTATTTTTGGTTAAATTTTTAAGAACATCAGCAATACCTGATCTGAATGCTTCACTATTTTTTAATAAAAAAAACAACTGGTTTGAATAAATATTTATGTTATTATTAAAAATAATTTTGGCAACTTGCCAGTAGGCAAAGTGCTTTGATAATATTAAATTTAATTTATTATAATATTTTCTAATAACTCTATTTGGTGTAACTACTGCCTGACGAAAATTTCATCTGACGTTGAATTTTACCGACGGCATATGAGAAATACGTTTTTGTGCACAATTTTTGTCGTAATTTCCAAATGTTTTGGAATTTTTCTATTGAAATTTTGGATTTCTATGAATAAATATATTGTTTATAAATAAGGTAGATCAAAAATTATTTATCATTTCATTTGTTTATAACAAAATTGTCCAAAGTTGGATTTTAAATTTCATATAGAAGTTTAGGTATGTGCAAGGTGTTCAACTTTTTGTAGTTCTCCCGAAATTTGTTGAAATTTTTGGATAAAAATCTGGATTTTTAAAAACAAATATATTGTTCATAAATGAGTTAAATTAAAAATTGTTTTTCATTGCAATTGTTTATATACGAGTGACACAAATTTGGATTTGAAGTTTTTATTCAGAAGTTCAATTGTGTGCAAATTTTGTTGCTATTTCAAAATTTGTTGATATTTTTCAACAAAAATCAGGATTGTTGTAAACAAATATATTGTTTTTAAATAGTAAATAATATTAATTTAATATTTCTGAGAAATTGTAAAATAAATAAATTGAACAAATTATTATTTTAAAAATACGCAATGTTATGATTATCTACCTGACAAAATTTTTGGGATTTAATAATTAAGACAAAAATTGTAACAAAATCAAAACTAACTTCTGTGATTGATTGTTAAAAGTGCAAAGTATATAAAAATCACTGATTTATACAAAAACAATAAATAAATTAAATAAAAAATGATTAAACAATCTACAACTCTTCCAATGCTTGTTTTCCCAAATCATTTACTTTGCAGTCCTAAAATATCTACCAATATTTTTTTATGGATCAGAGACATGGACTCACCTGTGTCAGTGTCATTTTGGTGATGATGGCCAACATAATTTTTTCTCCTTTGGTCGGATAAGGATTTTTCTTGTGCTCGTTTAACCAGGCCTTCAGGGTCGATGTCGTTTCTCTGGTTGCATTTTTGCGTCGGGCCCCGTTTAAATCCATTCCGTACCTGGAATAAAAAAAATCAAAAATTAAAATTAAAAGAAAATATATTTATAAATATATATGTTCATATATATATATATAAAGGTAGTACAGAAATGTTTTTACACATCACAGTATATTTTCGCTCGACCTTTTGCCTCCTATTGTCTCTTCGTATGAAATGAATTATGTATTTGGAAATTTTCAACAAAAAAACCGTAAAAAATACTATTTTTCACCTCATTTACAATATCATCGTCCGATCGAATATTAATTAATCGAATGCACTTTCTGTGTCAACGAACTCCGAATCGCATCGACCTGCCTTCAACTATTACTTCTATTTTCGGTGCACGAGTCTTACTCGCACAAATTATTAATTTGCATCAAATTAATTGGTCGTTCACATCGGTCGATGAATAATTAATATAAATCGATTTGGAATTTATTTATCGATTCCCTTATTTGTTTAAACAATGGACGACGTCGTGTACTGACAATCGAAACGTATGTAACGACATATATTTCATATTCGTAATTTATTGATTTATTTAATTTGTTCGAATGACGTACGTGATTGTATAACTGATGATGACCGAAAGGTTTAATCGAAACGTGCAAATAATAAAAATATTATGAAATGTATTATTTAACTTCCCCTATGATAAGTTATAGATTACTAGTTTCTGAACATTATGGCATACTTAGAATAAATGGATGTGTGTATGTGGGTGCGGATACAATTTTTCGTCGACAATTTCGAGAACACAGATCAACCGATGTCAATGATTCAAAAAACATTCCATTCCTATTGATTAATTTCTGGCGCAGGCAGGTGTTGACCTTTCAAAGATACGGAACAAAATGTACCAAAAATGGTATTTCATCGGAGCGTCCGATTTGAATGATTGAATAAGCATTTTACTTGAAGAACTGATTAATTTTTTTAGGAGGCAGGTCTAGCGTTTTCGGAGATCGAGTGGAAAAAGTAAAAAAAATGCCATTTGGCGGTCAAAAATGATCATTAGACATATGCACATCAAATTATCAGATATTTTATAGAGATTTTAATATGAATTTTAAGTATAAATTTTGTTTACATGTCATATTGCGACGGATCGCTTACGCACTTTGATATTTCATGTCTACGCAGCTAAAGCAGCGTGGTTGCTTTAAAAAACAGTTCAAAATTTCCAAAATATTTAAAACAATTAAAACAATTATTTTTTTAAAAGTCTTTTTTTTTCAAAAATTGCTAGATTCTTAAAAATCATTTTTTTTTCAGTTTAAAACAAAAATTAAATTTTGAATCCTTAAGGCACGATGCCATGTACTACTAGTCATGATGATCAAGAAGTATAATAAATGTATTATGTTAATCTCATTTGATAGTTTTTTGAAATGATGGTTTGTAGAGGAATCATGGTCTTTTTTTGAATTTATAGTATGTTGATAGCTTTTATTTTTAGAAGTAACAGAATATTATTTAGTGTGAATTTAATCTATCTTTTCTTCAGTAAGAAGATGACCAAAACATTTAGACGAATCGTTTGGCATGCTTTGCAGTGGGTAAACTATTCATATATTTTTAGTTAGCTTCTCCTTTCACTTATGTACCACATTTGCAATCAGTTAGTTATTTTCATCACTAGAAAAGCGTTTGCCGGATCTGCTAGTATATATATATATATATATATATATAATTTATAATAAAATTTACCGTTGTGTCGTTTTTCAAATTGAAATTCTAAACTTGTATTAATGTTAAGTGCTTGTTTAAATGGTTGTAAGGATGTTACTTATAAGGCGGCACGGTTTTTATTTTATAATTTATACATATATAAATAAATATGTATATACATTTATATATACATGTATATATGTATACATATATACAGATAAAATATAAACTTAGAAAACGACCGGAAAGCACATAAACGGATATAACACTACTGACAATAAATGTGCGTTTGGAATATTAAGTTGGCAATATTTTTTCCATACACCTATATATACACACAAACACACACACACACATATATATATATATATATACATATATATACTTATATGTGCCACATATGTTAGTGTTCAAATTTTATATTAGTAGTTTTTTTAAGTTATAAAATTCAGTTCAATTTCAATATTAGTATTATTTTATAAATTTACTATACATAGCCGATTGGCGTAAATAAATAAATAACATAATTTTAAGTGAATTTTCGGATTTTGCTCCGTAAATACAAAATTAACGAATTAATAAGATAATAATATATCAAAATCTTGAAACTTCAACTGTACTAATTCAATTTAAATAGAATCAGTTTCAGATCAAGTTGGCTCTTGTAAAGACCCTTAATATGATCCAAGAACATTCATATGTGACATGCCTTGCAGTGGATAAACTATTCATATATTTTTTGTTAGCTGCTCCTTTCACTCATGCACCACATTTGCATTAAGTAGTTATTTTCATACTAGGCATATTTTTTATGGCAAACGAACCGGTCGGCTAGTATATATATATATATATATATATATATATATATATATATATATATATATATATATATATACAGAGGCCATATGTTTTGATATGTGAGATTATTTTTATCAGATAAGTGTGGGACTCAATAACTGCCTTGTGCCACCCCTATATATATATATATATATATATATATATATATATATATATACATATATATTGTATTCAATTAACTTACTTATGGCTTTTGGTGTTTATCTTATTAAGGGGTAGTAAAAGTCTACCCCAAAAACTACTTTCATATACATATATACGTGTATATACACATGTATATATGTGTGTATATATGTGTATATATTGTATTTAATTAATTATCAGAATGCGAGAAAAGCTTTTCGTTTATCTTTATCGCATTATCACTTCATTCCGAACAAAAGATATTATGTTCTGTATATATATATATATACATATATATATATATATATATATATATATATATATATACAGTAAAACACCTTTAATACGATTTCCCGCATAATAGGCCAACAAAAAATAGAAAATACATGATTGCAATTATTTTATTTATCGACAAGAGACAAAATAAAATTGATTGTTAAGGTTTGTTATGGTTTAGTACGAACCATTCGATTTATATAACAGATGTTAAAATGATTTTACTGATTTCTATAAATATATGAAAACCTTTTAAATATATAAAATCCTTCAACTAACCTCTGTAAATACATAAAAACCTATATAATATATAAAATTGCATAATATCCCGGTTTAGTCCACTGTATAACTTTTATTGCATGAAGATAAATTTTTAAAATTATTTACTATATCTCTTGTAACTTTTAAACTATTCGATTAATATGATTGATGTGTTTGGGAAATTTGCACAAAATTAAAGAATCTACATTATTACTCTAATTAACTTCCAAATCAAATCATATATATAGTACGATCTGAAGAGCTCATTAAAATCAATCGACCAGAACAAATATTTTAATTAATGTATGTGTGTGCTGATGGAGCATTTTTAGCTAAAGTGAAAAATAATTATTAATTCAAAATAATTTAAAGTACTCTCTTGAATTTTTTATTTGGACGAAAAGCTTTTATTTTTAGAAAATATTTTACATATATATATATATATATATATATATATATATGTGTGTGTGTGTGTGTGTGTGTGTGTGTATGTGTAGGGGGGTTGGTAATCGCAAATACGTGCAAAAATGTCGCCAAAAATTCCATATAAATTTTTAATGATTCATAATGCTTTCACCATGTATATGTATACATATTCTTGTATATATATATACAAATATAAATGTAGGAATATAAATGCACTTAAATTTGTATAAACTTATATATACATATAAAAAAGTATGTGTGTGTTTGTGTGTATCTTATATAATTTGTATGAATGAAATTAAAATGTGTAAAAATGTGTATATAAACGTGCAAGCGTGTATAATTCAAATATAAGTGTGTTAGTGTGCACAAAAATGTATAAATTCAATTAAAATGTGTATAAGTGTACGTAAATGTGTATAAATGTGAATAAGTGTGTATAAAATGTGGAAAAAATGCGCATAAACGTGTAAAAGTATATGCTAAAAGTGTGTATATGTGTGTACACGTTTATAAATGTCTAAAAATATGTATGAATGAAACTAAAATGTGTATATAAGTGTGCAAGTGTGTATAAATGAAATTAAAATGTGTCCAAATGTGTTTAAATGATAAAATATGCATGTGTATAAATGTGAATAAGTGTGTATAAAATGTGCATAAATGTGTAAAAGTGTGTAAGTGTGTACGTGTTTTTGAACGTGTAAAACTGTGTATGAATGAAACTAAAATGTGCACAAACGTGTATGTAAGTGTGAATGTGTGTATAAATTATATTAAAAATGTGTTGGTGTGCAAAAATATGTACAAATGAAATTAAAATGTGTATAAAATGTGAAAGTGTAAACACACTTGTGTGTGTGTTCAAATGTGCACACGTGTGTACAAAAGTGTGTATCTGTGTATATATATCTATTTCTGTGTATATCTATGTATATATAAATTTTGTTCCCCCGTCAGCGTGAAAATGCAAGAGGAGGCACTTTTCCGCAAGATTGAAAAATCTCTTTATTGAGTTTCATTCTATTTTTTCGCTATCAGTTTTCCACTGTGTTTTTTCCCCAGCTTTTCCTCGAATAGAGGGGATGCGATTCTTTTTATTTCTCGATTGGAGGGTTGAAATCAATAGGCGCTTTATTTGCAAATAATACCCCAAAGAGAACAGATACACAGATAATATATACATACATATATACATTTATACATATATACGTATATTTATGCACTTACACATTTATACGCATTTGTTAAAATTTACACACACTTATACATCTACACGCACTTAAAAATGCACATTGGTGTACCTTAAAGTAACTTATAGGGCCCAATAATTTTATATATAGTTAAAACAGAATTACACTTATATACAATTTTGCACACTTATACACATTTGTACATTCTTACACACATTTATACCATGTATACACATTATACATACTTTTTATACACACTTATACCAATTTTTCAGTATAATTTTATCATAATTTGGAAACTTGAAGAGATATTTTAATAAAAATTAAGACGTTTAAAAACAAATAAATCAATTCATAAATTCGATTGTTATTATTCAAAGAAAAGCGTATTAAAGTTCAATTTTCATTGTTTTAAACAATTGGAATATTATACATTTTTCATTGAAAATTAAAAATGTTATAAACAAATACAGTAAAACTACTTTAAGATGAAAACAAAATTTACATGTTACTAGTTTTTTCTTGATGGTTTTATTGAACTGATAAATGATGACACACATCTAGTAAAAAACGTACAGAATATGTGTATATATTTTATTATGTATTTTATTATATATATATATATATATATATATATATATATATATGCCAAAATAGGCAGAAAATGAAGATTTATTTCCCACATTAAAAGTCTATTTAGGATCATTAAAAACCCATTTATATATATATATATATATATATATATATATATATACAACTGAATAGGTGGCAAAATGCACCCTAAGGTATTTTCTAAAGATTTTTCTACCCCATTTGGAAGAAAAAGTTTTACTTCTGTATAAATCTGTATGTATATACATACACACATGTATATATATTTGTGTCTATGTATATGTGTGTGTGTATTTTATCAACCCTCAATTTTATAAAAGTGAAGAAAAGGCGAATGGAGATAAAAAAAATATCGTTAAGGGATGAAATTTAAAATGGGGTACTTCAGGCTACTCTAAATGGTTACGGCTTAATACACTCTAGTCGAATCGAGAATATTATTCGGTTTTTCATTGAGATTTTAGAGTATACCGAGTTGCTGTAGAGACTTACAGTATTAGACAATGTTTGAGACTGTTTAATTCTGTAGAAATTTGTCATATACATCATTCATATTAGTCGAATGGTTTTAAAGTTACAAGAGATACAATAAATAAATGCTCATAAATAAGATTTGGTAAACACTGAGCGAGTTAGTTTTATTGTCCGTATTCAAGAGCATGTTTAAAGTACACCGAGTTGCTCTAGGAACCTTTATTGTTAGAAAAAGATTTTAATTGTTTAATTGCGAACAAATTTTTCTCTAACGTCATTCATATTAATCGAGTGGTCCAAAAGTTGTATCTTGTATGAGTTGCTTGTTTTCTATTGACATTTTAGAGTATACCGAGTTGTTGTAGGTACCTATAATATTAGACAATATTATACACTATTTAATTTTAAGCAAATTTTTCATATACATCAATCATATTAATCGAATGGTTTGAAAGTTGCAAGAGATATTATAAAGAAATCCATAAATTTGTAGCAGGATTGAAAACTGTACTAAATAGTACTGTGGGTTAAAATGGTTAACTCTATTTATATATTAGAGTAAGTATAGAGTTATAGAATCTATCGATATATATATATATATATATATATATATATATAAATATATATCTTGAGGATTTAATATATATATATATATATATATATATATATATAATTCAATAGCGGAAAGTGCTTCGAAATTAAGATGGACATTCGGACTGACCGATCATTTAGTATTCTGGAATTGTCCGATTTCCCCTATAAATATATATGTACATATACAAATATATACACACACATATATACATATATATATGCATATATATATATATATATACAAATATATTATTCAAGAAACTAGTTTATGCGTAAGAGTTGTTCAAGAGAAGTTTGAATCAAGTTTATTTCTGAATTATTTAACTTGGACGAGAACAAATATACATTTGTATATATATATATATATATATATATATATATATACATACATACAATTTACAAGTACTAAACTAAGAATTTTTATATCAATTTGTTCAAACAAAACACTTTTCCCACAGGTGCACTATTTTTTGAATGATCAACGAATTTTTTCTTTGACGCTTTTTACAAAGATATTTATAATAATTATAAATAATTTGATTCAATGGTAATCTATAAAATTATACATTACATTAAAAGCTTGTTAAGACGATCATGCTTAATACGATTCTGACCATATAATTTTTTTTATAATAAAAAAATATAAAAATTGAAATTGGCAATCAAGGTATCAAAAAAACAAGAAAAGGTATGAAAACATATATATATATATATGTGTGTGTGTGTGTGTATATATAGAAAGGTGTGAGTCAAATATATATGCGGCATAAAATCCAATATACCTTTTGTGAAGTAACTCAAGTGTTAAGACACGCCCTAATCATCCCTGCTTTTGTATGAAATGTCTATACGAAACGTATTTATATATACAGGGGTGCCCCAACGTACGTACACTATGTATACACATTTATATACATACATACATACATACATATGCATATACATACATACAGAGACGTCTGTACCTTAGGGTTTCACGCCCAGAGCCAAAACTGTAATTAAATACAGATCTATCATGCATGATATGTAATGTATATATATACATACATACATACATACATACATACATACATACATACTGCCAAAATGTTCAGAAACCTTCTAAACATAAAGATCAACACAAATTTTCATTTTCGAATTTTTTGCTATTACTATAATTTATTCCGAGAGAAGTTAAGAAGATTTGCTGAATCTTGTTTCATTCAACTAGCGTTAATAAATGTTAAATTGAACGTAATTCTACTTCCTTACCTTTTGACAATAATCAAAAATTAACTAAAGTTTGTAAATGTTTATATTAATGCACTGAAAAAAATTTCTACAATAAAATCGTTTTAATTATTGGATGGATCCCCAAGAACAACTTTATTATATACATATAAGCATATATATATATATATATATATATATATATATATGTATATATCATAGATAAGTCCTGGATTTTTTCAATATATTGATTGTTTCTTTCCGAACAGTAAATCCAATAATAAAAACAATTTGTTTTTTGAAGATGTTTAATACGACGTTCGGAACTAGGTACGTTCCATCATCAGGTTTATTCTGTCAAAACAATGTTTTTTAAAATACTGATTAACATTAATTAACAATGGTCAATACAGATTAATTAGAAAAAAATTTTTTTTCGTCGTATTAAACATCTTCAAAAAACAAATTGTTTTTTATTATTGGATTTACTGTTCGGAAAAGAAACAATCAATATATATATATATATATATATATACATTATTAGGCTTTTGTATCTTTTGTGTCGGAATGGAAAAAAGCTGTTGACAACTTTGATTGACATTTTGTGCAACACATGTCCTGACACTTATGACAAAAAATAATATTCACGAAAAGTATACCCATATGCATAGATACATATATACACATACATACATATATACATATACATATGTATTATCTATATCAGAGTGTCTATAAATTTAATTAAGTTGTTATTGCAAATTTAATTTCATTAACATTTTAATTAACGACTAATCAATGCTAATCTTTCATGTCAACAATATGTACATATGTATGTATATTTGTCCGAACAAATTTCCTACATATTTATAAGTATATACATTTATAAATACATACATACACACACATATATATATATATATATATATATATATATATATAAATTAATTATCTTGTTTATTCGACGATTGTTTAAACAATTAGAATCGTATCAACTTAACTCCGGATACACTTGCAATAAATATTTTTTTAAATAAATTTGTATAACATTTAAAACTTTATTTCTTTGCCTATTGGCAAGTTCCCATCTTTTTGAAAAAAATATAAAAATCTTTTTGACTTATATAACAACGTCTAAGATCCGTTGAACATCCCCCCGCACTTGATTTTTTGATTATGTATAAATATAAATATATACCGAACGAGTCATATTAATTTTTCATTTTTATCTTTAAAATTTTGGTTCACTTACCCATTGAATGGATAACCAGCAAAATCGTGGTAAGGATGATAGGCTCCCATTGCTGGAGGATAGTAGGCTTCTTTGCCAGGATCAGAATTCTGAAAAAAAGGAAAAAAAATAAGTAAAAATATTGATGAAGAATGGAATTTGCAAGTCGGAACGTTAGAACACATTCTGGTGCCGGTGACGAATTGCGAATTTTATGACAACTTTATCAATAACCTAGTTTGTTGAGTTTATAAAGGTTGGGACTTAGGAAAGTCATACTTGGCAAATCGAAACGTTGCCAAGTTATTTCAATATTTCAATATATCAATGCTACTGATCATGTCTACGTATTTTATTATTATTGCTCCAAGCATCAAATTCTCAACCGAAATAATATGCATCTATTATAAGCTCCGACGTGCCTAAACGTGCATTAAAAGATTTAGTTTTCATATAAAAATTCATCATAATCCATAAATGTATTGTTGAGGTCACGTATTGACCCT